ATAAGCATGAACATTAAAAAACTATATGAATCAACTTGTTTTAACTTAAACAACTTTAAAATAATTTTGCCCAATTTTGGCTAATAACAAAAAGTAGTTTGGGCTTATAAAAAAAAATAATCTTTGTCCAAAGTAGTTGGGCAATTTCGGCTACTAATAGAAGCAATTTTGGCCAGAAACCTTAATTGTGACCTTCTGTGCTTGAAATGAGTTGCAGATTCTTGTTACTTTGATGGATCTGATGTTTATGCACACCTAATATTACAATTCATCTGCAGAGTTGCAACTTGGACACAGAGCCATCCTTACCCTAGAGTAGGGGACATTGCAGGCAACTTTTCGACCAGCATGCCAGAGGCCATCCCTGGTCTGGTGCTGTGAGGGAAGATTAGTGAAAGTGTCATTGAAAATTGATGCAATCATGATAAACTCCAGGGTCACATATTACCCCTGGAATTCTGCAGCATCATTGTATCATTGATCCATCAGGTCAAATTAGCCTTATGTACATGAGGAACATGTGTGAATGACTGTAGTGTTCAAGGTAGCATGCGTGCTTCAACACCTGCCAATTTCCAATAATCAAACATCACATATTTGAAATGTTTCTTTTTAAACAGTGTATTAATAATATAATAATATAATAATATTATTATTGATTACAAAAAGCAAAATATTATCAATGAAAATCTTGTAATTACCCAGCAATGATCTGCTCTGTGTTTTGATTCCAATTAAAATATTTATAAACTAAAATAAAAATATCAATCAATACAAATAAAACAAAGTACCTCTGGTTAGTTATTATCACGTATTCTTTAGGAGACCCAAACCAAACCAAACAACAACACTCATGTTTTGTCACCTTGGACACTGTCAAAAAATAAATTGTTTTTTGTTTTTCCAAAAAAAAAAACCAATAGGATAAATAATTAATGTGTAAGTGTCGATCAAATCACAAACTTCTTTTTTTTTGTAAAAATGCCAAAAGATGCAAAAGCAAGAAGTGGAAGAAGAAAACAAGAAAATGCTGAAAAAATATATGGGTAAGTGTTTTAAGGATGGTGGTGGTGGTTATTGCCTGCCACTTGTCATTACTCTAGTTTATATATATATATATAAATTAGATGTGTTTGTGATCAACCAAATTCTTTTATTATTATTTTATTTTTTTATATAAAAAAAAAAGTCCCATAGACCACACAAAAGAATACACACTAAGCACCTTGAGAAAGAAAAAGAGTAAGTGTTGTTTATTGTAAGAATGGTGGTGGTGGTTATCGCCACCACTTGTCATCACTCTAGTTATTATTAAAAGAATGGTGATTGTTGCAACTCATCTTCATTCTATATCATCACAATCGTTGAAAGAAAATGAAGTAAGAAAGTAATTATATTCTCTTCAATGAATATGATTGTCCATTTTGTTTTGATGTCTAATTTTTCAACCCATAGAATAATGATTGTTATCATCATCAACTACCATCCCAAGAAGATCAAATAGAATACTTAATCAGTAAGTTAGAAAAATTAATTAATTTATGTATTAATTGTTGACTAAATTAGATTATTGATTTTTTATTCCATAGAATAAATTATAATGATAATAAAAATGTAAGTAAATCATATAGAAAGACTAGTTTTCACATAACATAATATTCTGATTTCATGGATACATTCTTAATTTTTTGCATATAAACACAGGAAGAACAATCTCAGAACTATGTGGATGCAACAAAGATATAGTTTTTTAATGTTCATGTTTATAAAAAATGCAGAGAAGCCCAAATTGCCCAAACTAGTTTGGGTTTTGAGAAAACAGTTTGGACTGGATACCTTAGTCTCAACTGGGAATAGTTTTAAATGCATATAAACTGTAAGTATTGTAAATTTCTGAATTGTTTTATCTTAATATTAAACCTTAGCACTGACCTTGTTTTTTTATAGGAACTACATTATCATTCTATTTGTTGGACAAGCAAACACCACCATTTTATAGATTCATTCACTTAGTTTCAACAACAATTCCTATTATAAAAGTAGATGATTTTATGAAGGTGAAGATGAAGGTGATAATGATGAAGACAGAGATGAATTAAAAAAAGTGAGAAAAATATTTATCAAAAACATTTTAGCCCTTTAACAATTACAGCAACTGTTCCTTCAAATGCTGTTTACACAAGTAGGTTATTGAATTTTACAAATCTTTCTCAGCCTACAATTCCAATAAAGTCACAATTATTAGTAATAATGGTAATTATATAATTTATTGTTATATTTAACCTTAATTATTTATTATTAATGATATTTTAAATCATAAACAATTATAGAATCTAAACAAATTGAATCAACTATACCAGATGGTCATCTAATTTATGATTATTGGAAATTTTCACCTACAATCAAACCTCATTATAACAGACTCTTTATAACGGATTTTTGTTATTCCGAACAAAATCTTATCCCTAATTTTTTTTATTAAATAGAAAGTTTTGTAATTATTATAACGAATTTATATAATAAACCTTGTTATTAACGTAGGAAAACAACAAAAACAATCTGGTGCAACATTCAATCTCTATTTCAGGATTAATTCACGAAGTTGGTTGTGTTGTGATAAATACTCTTCATTGATCATGATGTGATCGTGTCGGGGAGGGAAGAGAGAAGTCAATATGGCATGTTTTGATGTTGATGCTGAGGAGAGGTTGAAAATCAAATTTTGTTAATGAATGTATTTATTTTCTTTCCAAGGTCGTAAAACCTTTCTACTTTCAATGACACCTGATAGCCTTCCGTTTTTTCTCCTGCCAGTCTTTGAGCTTATGCTTGATTTTCTCTGCTATCTTCTTCCGTGTTGGAACCAACATTAATTTACAAGAATAAGAAAAATCAATATATATCTTTTTTTGTCATGAAGACAAAAAATGCATTATACCGAGATAAAATCGTTATATTTTAAGAAGTTAGAATAATGAAGGAAATCATTACTTTTTCGATCAATTAGCAAACAATAAAACCATTAAATAAATAATAATTTCCTTGATAATAATATTCCCTGATTAATAAAAATATATATTGATGCCCTTTATATAGTATTTTAGGCATTTTAATTGACTGACAAATTTATATCTTCTATTTATCAAAGAAACAGTAAATAAAGAAAATTGTCTATATATTTAATTTTAATTTTAATTTTAATTTATTTATCCCTTTATTGATCATTCAAATATACTCATCATGAGCGGCTGGGAAAGTCTGTATGAAGCTGCAACAAGCGATTATCGTAATGGTGACCTTAATGTACGTTGATTACTGAGATTTTCTAATTTCTAAAAAATTTTTTGATAAAAAAACAACTAAACAAAAAAATAGTGATCAATATAAGATTGTATTTTTTTTTTTTTGGTTGAATATAGGACTCATATTCCAATTATTTGAAAACAGCTAATGCATTACTCCACAAGCTTAATCATGAAGTTGCTTTTATCAATAGAGGTATTAAATGCTTTTTTTTTTAATAGATGAATTTCTTTCATAACTGATTCCTGATTTGTAATAACCTTTTTTTTATTGATAGATAGTATCAAATCAAAACCTCACAACAGTGTTTATTTGTTTAATCGGCTCAAGACGTGTGTACAAAGATTAGAAGATATCCTTCAAAATAAAGTTATACTTGGCAACCTTTCTTCCCCACAACCCTCATGCATCTCTGATTTAGTTAAAAAGGCCAATAAA